ACCGTGCGGCCAAAGCATCCCAGAGGGCAGCAGATGTGGTGAAGCCGCGAGCATGTTTGTGAACGGAGGGGCTGATGACCGCTAGGAGGCAGGCGCGGATCTGTGTGTCAACGATGGTCCAGGAGGTATACTCTGGATTAGGGACGGTTTTATCGTTTTTGGAGATAGTTGGCGCCGGGGCTGCTTCATGACCATCAATCCATCCAAGGAGGAGATTAGCTGAAAGAGCTGTCTGGACATTGAGAGACCATGCCGGATAATTTGTTTCGGTGAGTTTTTCTGGGATTATGTTGTGGAGACTCCGAAGCAAAAGTTTTACTCCGGAGGGTAAGGACGCCAAAGGATCCGACGGGGCTGCCATGGTGGGCGGCGATTGGAAAAAAGAGAGGCTAGGTTTTTGAGAGTCTTAGCTCCGATACCATGATACAATTTGATAATAACTTGTCTTATTGAATATTGAGAGATATGGCCCTATATATAGGGAATACAAGAGTAATCAAAGTACAAGTAGGAAAGGAAAGAATAATCCTAGTAGGAAAGGAAAGAAGTATCCTAATTTAATTATACTTCCTAATATCAAAATAAATATTTGATAAATGTTTGACACACTTTTTGTAACTGACTCAATAAAACTATTTTGAACAGTTAAAATGATTTTTCAACTGACTCCAAAAATAAATATATTTTTTATTTTAACTCTCATAAAAATAATTTTGGAGAGAAGATATTTTTGTCATCCTTACAATACTTCCTAAGACTCAAATAAATAAAAAGTCTTCGGAAATCTTCTACTCCTCCGAGTCCTCTGTTAGGCGCTCCTCACGCGTCTTGGGCTCCAATAAAATCCGGTGCACCTTCTTGAATACTTCAAGGAATGGCACTTCAAGTATTCGTGTTTGTCGTTGTAGCACTTTGATCTTGACTTGAATAGATTGTGTTTGTCAATTATCAAAACTTGTGAGTCAACACTTAACAACACAGAAAGGGTTGAACTCATGCATTCCAACATGAAGTGCATTACAAATTTTGCCTTCCAACAATGTGTACTCCTGAGCCAAAGCTTTATTAAACCCATTTTAAGAGTGATTCCATGGTGGACCTAAGGTCCATATGGAACTTCTCACATATTTTTTTAAATTTAAATTTTTTTTATTTCAACACTTGAAAATGCTCATTTAGCATATATGAAGGTCTACCATGAACTTTAGATGCATGTAATAATTTTCCGAATTTTATTATGTGAAAAAAGTAATGTTTTCGACTTAATTTTTTGTGAAAGTTTTCGGTGTTTTGTAAATTGATTAAGTGATTGCATGTGATAGAGAAGGGTATGGGGTGTGTGTACTAGCTTCGTTTGGGTTTGCATTCCCTTTGTTTGATTGATGCAATAAGTTGTTCTAAATAAGAGGTGTAGTGCATTGTCTATGACAGGATAATTTTTGTGAAATTCATGGAAAAGAATATTCTAATTAATAGCATGAATAAGTATCTCAAATTTGTATAAAATTCAAACAGAACTAATGGGTGGTTTTATAGATTTTTGGCATGATTTTGTAATATTCATTTTAATTTGCTTGTATAGGGACTTTTGAAGCACCATTATTGTATTTTTGAGCACTTTGTAGTGTTTTTGAAGGAAAGTATGTAATATCAATGGATTAGAAGGAGGATTCCATCAGTTAATTAGATGCATGGTGTGGGGTTAGATAAGTATTTACAATTTATGTTTTGGATAAGCATCGTATGTGTTCTAAATTGCATCAATCATTTAGCATGTATGCTGGTTACTTTGATGCTTGTTGACTGTTTTTATTTTGGGCACTTTGTAATGCAATGATATGGGATTGCTGATTTTAAGATATTATTATGGGTATGCATTAGCTTTGTTTGTTTGATGAAATAGGTAGTTGTAAATAAGAAGTGTATGATAGAATAAGTTCTGTGATCATGGAAAAGAAACCTGGAACCATGATAACAGATCGACCGAGCAAGTAGGATCAGAATTTCGGACAATTGGGAGGTTAGTAAAAACAAGAGGTTGATAATAAGGGAATTCATATCTGTGGAACGGATACGGAGAAAATGGGGAAAGTGAATCAGATCGTGAGCGAGAAATCAGGGATGAGAATGTCTCACGATGGTTTGCGTTTAACAAAGGACCGTAAAAAACTTTTATGCCCTCGCGATAAGATTCATATCTCATTAGATCGGAGCGTTTATATTTATTCTTATTTCTTTCATTAGATCCCTTTCTCATCAGAACCAAACTATATACATATATATATATATATATATATATGAGCATTCCCTGGCCATTTGCTTTATTTTCTTGGTAGTTTTGAGTCCTTTTGTACTTGGATTTTATCTGGGCATTTTTCTTGGCCGGTCTGTAGGGGTTTGGCCACCCCATCTCTTGTATTTCTTTTACCTTTTTATAGTTAATAAAACTCAACCTTTAAAATTATATATATATATATATATATATACACACACACACACACAATACAAAATCTTAAATGACAAATTATATTGTGCATCTATGTGTCCTGACTTTTATATATATCCAATGACTAATATATTTCTCCCAAAGAGTGAATGCACTGATTTTATAATATTCAAGATTTGAATACATATAAAAAATAAATGTGTGGTTTTATGTAATTTTGTTTTTCAAGATTTTCATTTTTATATAAAGTGAAAGTGTTGTTGACAACACAATGGATAGTAATTAGTAAAGGAATGGACATTATGCAAATGTAAAATATGCATACTTATATGCACAGAAATAAATATACCAAATAAGTATTTAAATGCATTTAACATCTTTTCTAGTCCTATTAGGATTAGGGTTAGACTTGAGTTTATCTTTCGCAATCTCTTCTCTTTATAGTTTCTATCAATATGGGATTGGGATTACTTCTATTTCCTCCACTACATATATTGATAGTTTGTATTTGCAATATAAAATCTATGAGTAAATCTTAATCCGGAATATGTAATTTGGTAAGGAAAATCTGAAAAGTAAATATTTTTTGTTTCGTTCGTGGAGGTCACTAACACACTGTTAGTAATTGACATTAAATTTTTGTCTTTTACATTATTTTTGTTACGTTCATACTTTCTCGAATCTGTCATAACGGATTTGGTATCGAAGCAAAATCTAATCGGGGAACTTAATCTGTTCATCGGTCAAAAAAAATCTTCGCCATTGATTTCATCTGTGTGTGCAACCTCTGTTTTTTCTCATTCATTTCATCGCACCTGCCGATCTAGAACCACAACCGTTATCTAGTTGAGCTACTGCTATTGCTCTTAATTCAAAACTCCACCGTATCAGCACAAAAGTTGTCTGTGATTTGAACTCACAACTACGGTTTCTACCGCCGTCTAGAGACATCACCACTGACCAAGGTCGCCAATCTGCTCTACACATCCTCGTTCACATCTGATTCTGTTGCTGGTCTGGTTCTCTGCCTTTCAAAGTTGCTAAATTGCTCTACTATTGGTCTAAAACTAAGAATATGTTTGGTTTGAGGCTGGTAAAGTTTTATTAGGTAGATAATGATAGATAATTGAAGGTAGGTATTTGAAGGCAGGTAAAGTAAGGTAATAAGTTGAAAAACTGTGTTTGGATATTTATTAGGGAGAAAGACCAAAGTAGGACTAAAACATTGAAAATATACCAAAATAGGACTATCATGTTTTTATTCCCGAAATAGGACTTACATTACCATACATGGTCATATACATTACCAAAAAAGTATAGTAATTTGCACATGTACACTGCCACATTACAACAGGGCAAAGTCACATTACCACAGTGCAAATTCCCATTTCGGGAAAAAAACATGAAAGTCCTATTTTGGTACTTTTCTCTTTGTTTTAGTCCTATTTTGGGTGATTTCTATATTTATTAGGTAATGTGAGGTAGGATAAATAATAAAATTGCTTAAATACCTTTGTGCTTGATTTTCTCTATTCGTTTCTTAAAGTGACTTCCGTGGAATCATAATTGACCTTATACAAAAAATTATATAATATTCTAATTACGTAAAATAATATTTCGATAATTGTTTATAAGGTAAATATCATAAAAAGTTTTTGCATCAATTTCAAACATTCTACTTCAACAAATAGCAAAAAAATACAGAAAAAAAGCAAACAGACTTAAAAAATCTCAGAAAAAATTAGAAAAAATCAGCATAAAAATAAACGCACAAAAAACAAAAAAACAGCAAAAAATGAAAAGAAGCAAAAAAAACACCAAATGAAATAAAGACATAAAAAAGGCAAAAAGAAACTGAAAAAGGGGGGAAAACCGAAAAAAAATCAGAAAAAAACACGTAGTTCTAATAATTAGAAAAAAAGACACAGAAGAAGAAGAAGAAGAAGAAGTGGTGCTGGGAGCTGCGCTGGAAGGTGGAAGAAAGAAAAAAACAAAAGAGAAAGGAAGGAGAAGTGCATTGGAGGAAGGCTTACACTTTACCTAGGTTTCCTAGAGAATCGACGGTAGCGTATTTTCCACTGTTACACGGTTAAGTTACCTCCATCCAACTCCGTTTACATATCTCACTTTCTTCCCCCAAACTTTCTTACCTTGTTTTACCTCCCCCTCCCTCCATCCAAACACAGCCTAAGCTACTTCTCTGAACCGAAATCACCTCTGATCGGATCTTGGATGCCCTTTTATGTGGTCTGAGATTTTTTATTCTTTTACCCTTTGTTGCACCAATTTGAGCAAATTTAATTTAATATAGTTTTAGATTTTCTATTTTCTGGTGAGAAATATGTCTGCTTTGGATATAAAAATTGACAAGTTTACACGAAGAAACCGTTTTAGTCTAGGATAGATCAAGATGAGAGCCTTGTTGAAACAACAAGGTCTGTGGGTGCCTCTATCTAGGAAATCAAAGGTAGCGAATTCAGATGACTGTGAGTTGATTAGTCAAGATGAGAACTCTCATTTGACAATCATGCTCTGTTTAAGTGATGAAGTTATCAATGAAGTTGCTAATGAAGAAACTCTTGTGGTCTGTGGTTAAAACTTGAAAGTCTGTAAATGACAAAGTCTTAACCAACAAGTTGCTTTTGAGACAGCGCTTGTTTAGTCTCCGTATGCAGAACAATACACCCCTTAAAGAATATCTAAATAAGCTGATGAATACCATCATATTAGATGTACGCAATGTTGATGTTAAAGTAGATGATGAAGATGTTTCTCTAATTCTGCTCGTAACTTTAGCCTTATCATTTCCGAATTTTGTGGATT